CTTTCCCTGAGGAAGGGATTACCTTAAAATCCCATTTGAGCCAACCTAATGTACTCCAATTCTTCTCAGAAGATAATGAGCAGGTTTGGTCTGATGCAGTCAGGAGTGAGGTTGGGTAGACAAATTGAAAGGAGTGAAATGAAGTAAAAAAAAAAAAAAAAAAAAAATCACTTTATACAGTGGGATGTAGGGGGTAACTGTAGGAAGGTAAGAGATCAGGTAACTAAGGCTACTGTCCTTCATTTGCTAGAAAATGGCATTAACTTTGCAACTAGCAGTACTTTAAACACCAATGTAAAACAGGTAATTTATAATCCAAGAGCACGAAGTGGAAACTCTAGCCATGCAGTTAATTATCCAACCATTCTCCAAGCCTCATTCAGTAAGTCCCAGTGAAATGCTATATGCTGAAAATAAAATAAAACCTTCCGTCACAGAGACTTGGGTATGTGAACTTGTGACCAAAGGAACTAAGTTTTCACTGCATTTCATACCAAGTTAGTACTTACCTTTCAGTTTCACATACTGCAATTCTGGATTAACACAGAGGGCTAGATTACTTGGTAGAGTCCAAGGAGTAGTTGTCCAAGCAACAAGAAAGATGTTTTCATCTTCATCCAGTGGGAAGCTTACAATTACCGATGGATCTTGAACATCCTTAAAAAAAAGGATAGGAAGGAACAAGAGGTTTGGTCTTGTGAGTCAAGGACAAAATACTCCAAAGAAAAGCAGTGACAGTATGTTGTCATACACATGTACCTGGTTCTTTAAGCATCCTCCAATTTGACTCAATTAGACCTGTGTTTCAGCCTCAGTAAGTGGCAGGAAGACTGAATTGCAGATATGAACCAACTTTCCCATTGTAGAACAAACTGGCCAAATCACAAAATGACCCAAAACAGCCACAATGTATACTTATAAAAGCTGAATTGTCAAAGGAATCATTGGCAGCTAGTTACCAAAACCTGTAGAAATTCAATGAGAGCAGTGAGCCAAACTCCCATGGATGCTTTTGACAATCCCAACTTAAAATAACCTAAAATCTGGAACTGAGGTAATACTATAGGAAAATAAGCTGTTTGTTAGTTATTACAAATCTGGAATAAATTATTAACTTTTTTTTTCTCTGGGGATATAGGGTAGAAAAAACTAACGATGACTTTAGAAAATTCTCCCCTGACAAGCAATTGTCATTAGCAAATACAAAGAAGAGCTAAATGTTCTTGAGCACAAAATGGGCACAAAAACTGCCAACATTGACAAAACACTGGTTTCATCTTTGTATGTCACAAGAAGGTCACGGTTATTTTTCTACCTGGTTAACTGCCTGTCAGCAGTAAAGAAAGCTTTGTTCTTACAGGCAACTTAACTTGAGATTTAAATAGTCAAGTTTATTTATTGGCAGCAAGAAATAATGTTTCTTGGCAGCAAGGTATAATGACTTATTTACAAAGGCACCAATAAATAATGACTTAAAGGAACAGTCAAAAAACCCCCCAAAAAACAAACAAACAAAAAAACACCACAGCCAGAGTTATACATAAGCAATTCAACTCCTCAACAACATGATGTTATCAAAATGGAATCTGCTGGTGTATCACCCAATTCAACAACTTAAGCTTTTTAACCCAAAACAAAAAATTCCAGTGCAAAATAGCAGTTGCAAGAGTCAAATTAACATGATATGTAGTGACATACCTTATAGTTCTGATGAGATTCAAAGTTTGAAAGGGGAGTGTTACATGCAGTGGAGAAAGGCATAACTTTAACTCCTCTGTAAACCAGACCTTTGTCATACAGCTGCTTGAAAACCCACCTAAAAGTAAACAAATATATTACAGCTGTTAAAAAAAAAAGTACTCCAAAACAACAAAACCGAACAAAAATTCACAGAACAATAATTCAGTAAGAGAGGTATTTTTAACTCTGTGGGCACATCTATACATACAGGCACATGCGCTTGCAGCAGCTCAGATAGGAGTGGCACAAGTTTGAGCCGGGGATTTTTGCCTCAATGCGCATGCCCGGACGTGCACTTTGGTGTGGGGCAAGTTGTGCCTCTTGGGGCAAAATAACCCTGCCCAGCTCCTCCCAGATCTGCAGCAAGGGGGAGCTAGAACCTGGGGCCAGCTACTGGCCCCAGTATAAAAACCTGCCCTGGTGAACAGCTCAGGGCTACTTGCCCTCAGGAGCTTTGGGGGGGGTGGGGCCCATGGGAGGAAGTTGGCTATGCCCCTTCCTGTCCCAGGCTGCTGCATGCTTGTTCTCAGGAGTTTGTGGAGATGGCCAGGCCCTTTCCTGCCTCTGGCTACTGCTAGCTGCTGGCTTGGGTTCAGAGCTTTTTGGAGGAAGTTGGCTGCACCCCTTCCTGCCTTGGCCTGCTGCTGTTGCTGACCCCCCATGGGGGGGCCCTCTGCTGCATGTTGTTGCCCCCCTCGGGGAGGGCCCCCCTGCACTGCACCACACCCCAGCCTCTGTACCCGTTTCTGGCCTACTACCCAGCCCACCGCCAAGCCATGGTCAGGGGACAGCCTGGGGAAGGAGCCTGCACTGCCTGTGGGTTCCTCCTCCCCCACCATCACTGCTGGAGCCTAAAGCTGCTTTGCCTGCCCCAGCTACCTTGGCAAGCCACCCCCCCACCTTTACCTCCACTCTCACCAGAAGCACACCCCAAGTGGCTGAACTGGACGGCTCCTACCATCACTGCTGCTGCAGTCTGTTCCGCTGCTGCCCCCTCTCAAGACAGAGGGAGATTCCCTGCTGCACCACCTTGCACCACTCAACACCACACCTGCACTGAATTACTCCTCAATTGCTTGATTGCTCCTTCCCTCCCACACAGCTGCCTCACTGCATCTGATCCTGCTTTGTTTCCTTGCCTGCTGCCGAGCACCTAGCTGGAGGCCTGAGGAGCTTCTGAACTGATCTCCAACAAACAAAGCCCCTCCACCTCTCCAGCCATCTTTTACATCTGCCTCAGCAGCCTTCCCCGTGTGTTTTACCCTATGTGGCAAGTCCTGTGGTCCACTCCCCCTGCCCTGGTGTTTGTTGTGGGGCTGAGCAAGCCAGCTCAAGTCTCCCCAGCCCATCCGCGTGTGCGTGTGTGTATGTGCATGCTTCCCCCTCCCCCACATTCCCCAAGCATAGCCCTCTTAGCTTTTTTCCTGCAGGGATGTAGCTCAGTGAACTTCAGCCCCCTTCCCCCATATTTTCCCCACAACCCCAGCCTGCCCCCATTAGATTCACCAGTCCCACTGTACTTTTTTGGGGTTTCTTTATTGATTTCCCTTCCCTGATGTGAAGCAATAGCAGGGCAGCAGCTTTCAGAGGGGGAGGGGGGAGAGATTCCTCCACAGAACTTCCTGCAGCCCCCACTACAGGGGCAGATCCCAGCCAATCCCCCCCAAGAGAATGCATGCCCTTGCAGCCCCCCACTCCAGCAGAGTCCAAACGACCTCCTCCAGGGGTAGAGAAGCCTCAGAACTCTCCTGCAGGGGCAGGTGAGACTCAAGCAGGGAGCCAGCAGGGCCAGAGGGTCTCCCCTGGCCAGGCCCCTCCTGGAGGAGTTCCCAAGCCCCCTTCATCAGGGACCAAGGGCAAGGGCAGTGGGAAGGGCTGCCCAGCTGGGGGTGGGAAGGAAAGGGACCTAACCCCAAGTCTAAACCACCAGTGCCTGAAGGGACCAGGTGCACCACACCAACTGGTACACCCACTCAGCCTGTCCCCGACCCTAGCCCCAGCCCCACCAATGCAGCCCCGCAGAGGGAGAACCGCAGCTATGCACAGGGGTCAACAGGGTGACCCACAGCTGTAGGGCCTGGACCCTCCACTGCTGGCCCTTCCAGCTCAGGCAGTGGGGCCCCCTTTCCAGCACTCACCTGTAGACACAGGGTGAAGTGTCAACTGCCAAGGCGGGAGACCCTGTATTTTGAGACCTGGGTGCAGGCCCTGGCTCAGGTAGTGGGGGCCCCCAAGATTGTGGCGGCCTCCCACTTTCATGGCAAAGGTGGGGTTTTTTTTCCTTGCCTTGGAAGTGGTCACACAAAAGGCGGTGGAGAGGGGGCCCGTGGTGCAGGGCAAGTACATCCCCCTCAAGCCCCTAGAAGAGCTGGGGACCAGAGTGGTCCTCAGCTCCAACCCACCTTATATCCCCAATTGGGCCCTGCTCCCCATCTCCCAACCCTGGGGAGACTTATCTCCCCAGTGGTGGCCCTCTTCATCGTCGTGGGGTGCCAAGATCCCAGACTCTGCCACATGTGCTCATTCCATTGTCAGGTCATGATCCAGCTTGCAGTGGAAGCAAAGCTGAAGGCTGAGGGCAGCCTCATAATTCCTGTTCAGGGGGCCCTAGTAAGGATTTTCTATATGCTGGGGGACCTGTGGTGCTTCCAGTGCCATGCCCCGGGGCACTTGCATCATGAGTGCCCCATGGGTCAGGCAGGGAGGGTGTCCACAGGTCCCACTGGCAAAAGGGGTGCCCCTACCACCAGTACCCCTTCCCTCTTGGGCCCTCCTGGCACCCCAGCCACAACTACCAGAACCCCGTGACCTCAGGGACCCCACCCCCCAACCAAGTATGGCAAAGTCCCGGAAAGAGACCCCCCCTCATTCCTAGCCGTGCCCCCACTGTAACTGCCCCACCACCCCAACCCTCACCTTCTACTGGAGCCTGTTCACCTGAGGACTGCCCCATGGCTGAGTGGATGCAGGTCTCCTGCGGGTGCAAAGCTGAGAGAAGCCTGGGCGCAGCTGGAGCCCTCTGACCTAGAGGACCCCCCCGCACCCTTCCAAGACCATCACACAGGGAGAAGGAGCAGTTCAGCTTCTGCGGGCCTCCCCAGCTGTGCCCGACACCCCATCCCCAGGGAAGATTAAACGTGTTATCCCAGAAGATGAGGCTTCAGGGCTGCTGGACACTCCTGAACAGGAGCCCATGCAGGAAGCCCCTCACTCCACTGGCCAGGGCCTACCCTCTGAGACCATGGGCGCTGAGGCTGACCCAGAATAATGTCCAGTAGCAGAGCCCTCCCCCTCTGACAATCTGGGGGAGACAGGGGCCCTGAGGCTCACCCCAGTGAGCCCTGAGGGAGGTCCCCTTTTCCAGGACCCCAAGGCAGACACCGAAGCCACGCTGGTGCCTGATAGGTCTCTTCCTTCCCTCTCCTAGAAAAAAACCTCACTTCCAGCCTGCCCCATGGTCCTGCACCACAGGGGGTCGCGGTGGGGTCCTCTGATCAACAGGCCAATCTCGTCAGGGACCCTACATGGACCTCCCCCCCAGAACTCCAGCTTTACCCCATCTTGTGAAAGAGCCCCACCCCAATCCTTACCCCCACCCCTGTCCCAAGGGGCTGCAGAGCTCTCCCAATCCCAACCAGAGTTCAGGGTCTTAACAGACTCCAGGGTTCAGATGGTCCCTAAGGAGCCCGCTGAGCCCCAAACCCTGGGGAGACCCTCCATGAAGCCTGCGGACCTCTCAGTTCCATTGGTCCCCAGGGGTGAACTAATTGCATTTCCTGACTCTGACTACACCTGCCAGTCTGCCAGCAAGGTACAGCTAGCCTTAGACTGCTGGGAAGATTTTGACAGCGTCCTCACCACTGCGAGGGCGCTGGCAGGGGAAGGCAAGGGACCTAAAAGCTGCAATGCCCAGATCTATACGCAGTCCCGCAGTTTCATAGATGCCCTCAATACATATGGGAGGACGCAACACGAGCCAGCAGGC